ATTATAAACCTAATAAAGTCTAATAAAGTTGATGGCTTCTGGTTATAAACCTAATAAAGTCTAATGAGGTTGATGGCTTCTGATTATAAATCTAATAAAAATCTAATAAAGTTGATGACTTCTGATTATAAACCTAATAAAAATCTAATAAAGTCGATGGCTTCTGATTATAAACCTAATAAAGTCTAATAAAGTTGATGGTTTCTGATTATAAACCTAATAAAGTCTAATAGAGTTGATGGCTTCTGATTATAAACCTAATAAAAATCTAATAAAGTTGATGGCTTCTGATTATAAACCTAATAAAAAATCGAATAAAGTCGATGGCTTCTTATTATAAACCTAATAAAAATCTAATAAAGTCGATGGCTTCTGATTATAAATCTAATAAAAATCTAATAAAGTTGATGGTTTCTGATTATAAACCTAATAAAGTCTAATAAAGTTGATGGCTTCTGGTTATAAACCTAATAAAGTCTAATGAGGTTGATGGCTTCTGGTTATAAACCTAATAAAAATCTAATAAAGTTGATGACTTCTGATTATAAACCTAATAAAAATCTAATAAAGTCGATGGCTTCTGATTATAAACCTAATAAAGTCTAATAAAGTTGATGGTTTCTGATTATAAACCTAATAAAGTCTAATAGAGTTGATGGCTTCTGATTATAAACCTAATAAACTCTAATAAAGTTGATGGTTTCTGATTATAAATCTAATAAAGTCTAATAAAGTTGATGACTTCTGATTATAAACCTAATAAAGTCTAATAAAGTTGATGGCTTCTGATTATAAACCTAATAAACTCTAATAAAGGTGATGCCTTTTGATTATAAACCTGATAAAGTCTAATAAAGTTGATGGCTTCTGATTATAAACCTACTAAAGTCTAATAAAGTGGATGGCTTCTGATTATAAACCTGATACAGTCTAATGAGGTTGATGGCTTCTGATTATAAACCTAATAAAAATCTAATAAACTTGATGACTTCTGATTATAAACCTAATAAAAAATCTAATAAAGTCGATGGCTTCTGATTATAAACCTAATAAAGTCTAATAAAGTTGATGGCTTCTGATTATAAACCTAATTAAAATCTAATAAAGTTGATGGCTTCTGATTATAAACCTGATGAAGTCTAATGAGGTTTATGACTTCTAATTATAAACCTAATAAAGTCTAATAAAGTTGATGGCTTCTGATTATAAACCTAATAAAGTTGACGGCTTCTGATTATAAACCTAATAAAGTCTAATACAGTTGATGGCTTCTGATTATAAACCTAATAAAGTTGACGGCTTCTGATTATGAACCTAATAAAGTCTAATAAAGTTGATGGTTTCTGATTATAAACCTAATAAAGTCTAATGAGGTTGATGGCTTTTGATTATAAACCTGATAAAGTCTAATAAAGTTGATGGCTTCTGATTATAAACGTAATAAAGTCTAATAAAGTTGATGGCTTCTGATTATAAACCTAATAAAGTTGACGGCTTCTGATTATAAACCTAATAAAAATCTAATAAAGTCGATGGCTTCTGATTTTAAACCTCATAAAGTCTAATAGAGTTGATGGCTTCTGATTATAAACCTAATAAAGTCTAATAAAGTTGATGGCTTCTGATTATAAACCTAATAAAGTCTAATAAAGTTGATGGCTTCTGATTATAAACCTAATAAAGTCTAATAAAGTTATTGACTTCTGATTATAAACCTAATAAAGTCTAATAAAGTTGATGACTTCTCATTATAAACTTAATAAAGTCTAATAAAGTTGATGGCTTCTGATTATAAACCTAATAAAATCTAATAAAGTTGATGGCTTCTGATTATAAACCCGATAAAAAGTCTAATAAAGTTGATGACTTCTGATTATAAACGTAATATAAAGTCTAATAAAGTTGATGACTTCTGATTATAAACCTAATAAAGTCTAATAAAGTTGATGACTTCTGATTATAAACCTAATAAAGTTTAATAAAGTTGTTGGCTTCTGATTATAAACTTAATAAAGTCTAATGAGGTAGATGGCTTCTGATTATAAACCTAATAAAGTCGATGGCTTCTGATTATAAAACCTAATAAAAATCTAACAAAGTTTATGGCTTCTGATTATAAACCTGATAAATTCGATGGCTTCTGATTATAAACCTAATAAAAATCTAATAAAGTTGATGGCTTCTAATTATAAACCTAATAAAAATCTAATAAAGTCGATGGCTTCTGATTATAAACCTAATACAAATCTAATAAAGTCGATAGCTTCTGATTATAAACCTAATAAAAATCTAATAAAGTTGATGGCTTCTGATTATAAACCTGATAAAGTCTAATGAGGTTGATGGCTTCTGATTATAAACCTAATAAAGTCTAATAAAGTCGATGGCTTCTGATTATAAACCTAATAAAAATCTAATAAAGTTGATGGCTTCTGATTATAATCCTGATAAAGTCTAATGAGGTTGATTGCTTCTGATTATAAACCTGATAAAGTCTAATAAAATTGATGGCTTCTGATTATAAACCTAATAAAGTCGATGGCTTCTGATTATAAGCCTAATAAAGTCAAATAAAGTTGATGGCTTCTGATTATAAAACCTAATAAAGTCGATGGCTTCTGATTATAAACCTAATAAAGTATAATGAGGTTGATGGGTTTTTATTATAAACCTGATAAAGTCTAATAAAGTTGATGGCTTCTGATTATAAACCTAATAAAGTCTAATAAAGTTGATGGCTTCTGATTATAAACCTAATAAAGTCTAATAAAGTTGATGGCTTCTTCTGATTATAAACCTTTTAAAGTCTAATAAAGTTGATGACTTCTGATTATAAACCTAAATAAAATCTAATAAAGTTGATTGGCTTCTGATTATAAACCCGATAACGTCTAATAAAGTTGATGGCTTCTGATTATAAACCTATTAAAGTCTAATGAGGTTGATGGCTTCTGATTATAAAGCCTAATAAAGTCTAATAAAGTTGATGACTTTCTTCTGACTATAAACCTAATAAAGTCTAATAAAGTTGATGGCTTCTGATTATAAACCTAATAAAATCTAATAAAGTTGATGGTTTCTGATTATAAACCCGATAACGTCTAATAAAGTTGATGACTTCTGATTATAAACCTAATAAAGTCTAATGAGGTTGTTGGCTTCTGATTATAAACGTAATAAAGTCTAATGAGGTTGATGGCTTCTGATTATAAACCTAATAAAAATCTAATAAAGTTGATGGCTTCTGACTATAAACCTGATAAAGTCGATGGCTTTCTGATTATAAACCTAATAAAAATCTAATAAAGTTGATGGCTTCTGATTATAAACCTAATAAAAAATCGAATAAAGTCGATGGCTTCTTATTATAAACCTAATAAAAATCTAATAAAGTCGATGGCTTCTGATTATAAATCTAATAAAAATCTAATAAAGTTGATGGCTTCTGATTATAAACCTGATAAAGTCTAATGACGTTGATGGCTTCTGATTACAAACTTAATAAAGTCTAATAAAGTCGATGGCTTCTGATTATAAACCTAATAAAAATCGAATAAAGTTGATTGGGCTTCTGATTATAAACCTGATAAAGTCTAATGAGGTTGATGGCTTCTGATTATAAACCTGATAAAGTCTAATAAAATTGATGGCTTCTGATTATAAACCTAATAATGTCGATGGCTTCTGATTATAAGCCTAATAAAATCTACTAAAGTTGATGGCTTCTGATTATAAACCCGATAACATCTAATAAAGTTGATGACTTCTGATTATAAAACTGATAATGTCTAATAAAGTTGATTGCTTCTGATTATAAACCTATTAAAGTCTAATGAGGTTGATGGCTTCTGATTATAAACCTAATAAAGTCTAATAAAGTTGATGACTTCTGATTATAAACCTAATAAAGTCTAATAAAGTTGATGAATTCTGATTATAAACTTAATAAAGTCTAATAAAGTTGATGGCTTCTGATTATAAACCTAATAAAATCTAATAAAGTTAATGGCTTCTGATTATAAACCCGATAAAGTCTAATAAAGTTGATGGCTTCTGATTATAAACCTATTAAAGTCTAATGAGGTTGATAGCTTCTGATTATAAACCTAATAAAGTCTAATAAAGTTGATGACTTCTGATTATAAACCTAATAAAGTCTAATAAAGTTGATGACTTTGATTATAAACCTAATAAAGTCTAATAAAGTTGATGACTTGTGATTATAAAACCTAAAAAAGTTTAATAAAGTTGTTGGCTTTTGATTATAAACCTAATAAAGTTGATGGCTTCTGATTATAAACCTAATAAAAATCTAATAAAGTTGATGGCTTCTGATTATAAACCTAATTAAAATCTAATAAAGTCGATGGCTTCTGATTATAAACCTAATACAAATCTAATAAAGTAGATGGCTTCTGATTGTAAACCTAATAAAAATCTAATAAAGTTGATGGCTTCTGATTATAAACCTGATAAAGTCTAATGAGGTTGATGGCTTCTGATTACAAACCTAATAAAGTCTAATAAAGTCGATGGCTTCTGATTATAAACCTAATAATGTCGATGGCTTCTGATTATAAGCCTAATAAAGTCTAATAAAGTTGATGGTTTCTGATTATAAACCTGATAAAGTCTAATAAAATTGATGGCTTCTGATTATAAACCTAAGAATGTCGATGGCTTCTGATTATAAGCCTAATAAAGTCTAATAAAGTTGATGGTTTCTGATTATAAACCTAATAAAGTCTAATAAAGTTGATAGTTTCTGATTATAAACCCAAAAAAGTTTATTAAAGTTAATGGCTTCTGATTATAAACCTAATAAAGTCTAATAAAGTTGATGGCTTCTGATTATAAACCTAATAAAGTCTAATAAAGTTGATGGCTTCTGATTATAAACCTAATAAAGTCTAATGAGGTTGATGGCTTCTGATTAATAACAAGTGATGGTTGTGGAGATAGACTATGTGGATCTTTTTAATCTAGTTTCTATCGTTCACCTGTTTCCTCTTCTTTCATCGTAAGGGGAACTGTGATCTCCTCCTCTTCTTCTTCTTCCTTAACAATAATATTCATGTCTCTCGGGTTTTCTGCCTAAAGGTTTTGTGAGAGGACAGTAAAGTCACCATTGTTGGCAAAATTCCTTTCCGAATATGCTGTGAAGGATCTCAGTTTCAACTACCTGAACATGGTAAGGGAGGTTGGCATGTTGCTGTGATGAATCCCAGGAATACAGAGGATGGGGACATCTCTCTGGTGAGTTCCCATCACTGGATCCATCTGTAGGAAACACACACACTGAATGAATCCATTGTTTCTATGTCTTAGATATTGGGGATTTAGGTGGATCTACAAAGTGAGATTTGAAATTTTTTTTTCTTTAAAGTTTCTTCTTACACAGTGATTTAGGAAATGGTGGATTCTCTTCTTCTACCTCATCCTCTTCCCAATCCTCTTCTTCTTCTGAGTACTCCGTCTCCTACATAGGGAAATAGACCGAGACATCCTGACACCTTATAGGAACCTGACACACACAATGATACAGTCACCATCCAGACACATCTCTTGTTTGTTACTGGAGAATGTCCCAGAATTCCCGGCACCGCTCACCTCTCCTGTCAGGAGCTCAATGATCTTGTTGGTGACCCCGAGGATCTTCTTTTTATGGTTCTTGGATTTGTCTCCTGAAACTTGGGGGCAACTGCTTGGCATCACATTTTCTCCAGATGCCTTCTTCACCACTGTACAGTCCTACCAAATGAAAGATGCAAAAAAAATAATTATTTGCGAAGACTTTGTCTCCTCAAAAAGAGTGAACATGTAGATCATCTAAAAAGATCTTTACACCTTGGTCCTCTAACCGCCTCTCTGGTCAGGTTTGTCAGAGACAGATAGATAGATAGATTTATTCATAGAGATAAGAGGGATGTCATGTGACCTTCCAGAATCCTCCTCACCTCTCCTGTCAGGTCCGTGTTTTATTCATAGAGATAAGAGGGATGTCATGTGACCTCCCAGAATCCTCCTTACCTCTCCGGTTAGGTCCGTGTTTTATTCATAGAGATAGGAGTGACGTCCTGTGACCTCCCAGAATCCTCCTCACCTCTCCGGTCAGGTCCGTGTTTTATTCATAGAGATAGGAGTGACGTCATGTGACCTCCCAGAATCCACCTCACCTCTCCGGTCAGATCCGTGTTTTATTAATAGAGATAGGAGCGATGTCATGTGACCTCCCAGAATCCTCCTCACCTCTCCGGTCAGGTCTGTTTTTTATTAATAGAGATAAGAGTGATGTCATGTGACCTCCCAGAATCCTCCCCACCTCTCCGGTCAGGTCTGTGTTTTATTACTAGAGATAAGAGTGATGTCATGTGACCTCCCAGAATCCTCCTCACCTCTCCGGTTCGTGTTTTATTAATAGAGATAAGAGTGATGTCATGTGACCTCCCAGAATCCTCCCCACCTCTCCGGTCAGGTCTGTGTTTTATTACTAGAGATAAGAGTGATGTCATGTGACCTCCCAGAATCCTCCTCACCTCTCCGGTCAGGTCCGTGTTTTATTAATAGAGATAAGAGTGATGTCATGTGACCTCCCAGAATCCTCTACACCTCTCCGGTCAGGTCCGTGTTTTATTACTAGAGATAAGAGTGATGTCATGTGACCTCCCAGAATCCTCCTCACCTCTCTCGGTCAGGTCGGTGTTTTATTAATAGAGATAAGAGCGATGTCATGTGACCTCTCAGAATCCTACTCACCTCTCCGGTCAGGTCTGTTTTATTAATAGAAATAAGAGTGATATCATGTGACCTCCCAGAATCCTCCTCCCCTCTCCGGTCAGGTCTGTGTTTTATTAATAGAGATAAGTGTGACGTTATGTGACCTCCCAGAATCCTCCTCACCTCCCCGGTCAGCAGCGTGATGATCTCCATAGTAATGTTGAATATCTTCTCAGTCTTATGACCTCCATCGCTGTCCATCCTCAGCAAATCAGTCATGGTGGTCAGAGGTTCTCTTGGAGAGGGTCTACTGATCATGAAGAAGCTTTAGCACACTTGATCTCGCTGTAAACGCAGGTTGACCAACATTGGTTTTAAAAGTAAACAATAGCGTCTATAAAAAATAAAGAGTAGAGATGCAAAAGATTTTGTTAAAGTTGTCCTTGGCAGCAGAGGAGCCAAGAGATTGACTTCACCAGAAAATGGAGAATATTTTTTTCCCTTTTTATGTATATAAATCCCTAAATGACATCATATTGCGGTTGGTTCTTCATACAGCGCTGCGGCATATGTCAGAGCTATATAAATAATTAAAATATTATTATTTTCTATGAATACAAACAGAAATGGGTCGCTGACAGTACTGTGGTGAATGGATGGAGGGATGGTGTATTGATAAATAATAATCATATTAATAACAATGATCAATAATTATGATTCATAGATAATATTACCAATCCTGCAAGAGTCTCTCATTCCAGTCACAAAGCTGCTCCTCTTCTGGCCTCCAGCAGGAAATAATAAGAAAGGATTCCAGCAAATCATTCTGGGAACTGTAGTTGGATATAAGGGACTTCAGAAAAATGGCTACCCCCTTCCCTCTATAGTGAGGACACCACTGTTTCCCTCTAATGTTGACTAGAGCAGCCGCCTTGCTGACGTCACGCTTTCCTTCAACTGACAGCCCGAGGCTGCGGAGACTCCATCCTATAGAAACGGAGGGGCGTGGCCTTGTGCTAGAGCAGAGCGCAGTGGGAGGAGCCGAGCCGTCAACAGCAGAGATAGAGCGGTCCCAGGTTACCGGAAGCGGCCGTAGGGTGACAGTCACTTCCGCCCTGCGCCCATCTGAAGGGGAAGTAGCTGTAGGTGAGGGTTGCTACCTCTGTTTATATTATATTTATGGCTGTGGACGTCTATTGGCGGGAATGAATGGAGGGGTAATGAATATTAATGACGTCTAATGAATATTCAGGAAGTAGGAGGGGCAGAGACATTGACTTTCACCTTTTCTGACCTTTCAGCCAATGTTGGTTGCAGGAGACCGAGCCACCTGCAGCTTTCCAGGAACTTCCAAGGGCTCCTGAGCTGTGTGTCAGTTTACGGCTGAGTCAGGTGAGTTGTTTGGGGGTCTCCAAGGGACCCTTGAAGATGTTTAGTTTGGGGGAGGGGGGGGGGACACACATTGATAATCTATTTAGAGAAGATTCTCCTTATCTGAATGTAATTAAAGGATCAAAAAATAAATATGGCGGGCGGTCGTGTCGGAATTCTCCCTCCCGGAGAAATGGTGGTGATGACTACTTTGGGGCCTGATCCGGGATCAGGGGACCCTTCAGAAGAGGTCCATCTGTTTCTATTCCCAAGTACACCCGGCAGATAAAGACTTCAATGATGGTGTCACATGGTTGCAGTCAGCAACTGCAAGAGGGAGCAAAAGTTTTGGGTTGAGTTCCTGTCTGGCAGGGTCTTCACGGCCTAAAAATTGTCCGTCTGCAAGATCCGTTGTCATGGAGAGGTCCGTATCCTCGGGGAGAGAGAGACAGTCCAGAAGCTTGCTGAAGGTTGCGTGGAGATAAAGATGCACAAGAGGGCGCAGGAGGAAAAGGGGCACGTAGGGTGCATTTGAAGACACTGGATGACACGGGGTGCACTTGGAGTCACTAGATGTCATGTGGACTGGGAGCACACTTGGAGTAACTGGATGCCATGGAGTAATTGGATGCCACATGGCCTGGGAATGCACTTGGAGCAGCTGGAGACACTAGATGTCATGTGAACATTGGCCTGGAAATTAATTTGGAGCAGCTGGGCACACTGGAGACACCAGATGTCATGTGGACTGGGAGCACACTTGGAGTAACTGGACGCCATGGAGTAATTCGATGCCATGTGGCCTGGAAATGCACTTGGAGCCACTGGAGACACTAGATGTGATGTGGACATTGGCCTGGAAATGCACTTGGAGCAGCTGGAAGCACTAGATGTCATGTGGACATTGTCCTGGGAATGCACTTGGAGCAGCTGGAAGCACTAGATGTCATGTGGACATTGTCCTGGGAATGCACTTGGAGTAGCTGGAAGCACTAGATGTCATGTGGACATTGTCCTGGGAATGCACTTGGAGCAGCTGGGCACACTGGAGACACTAGATGTCATGTGGACTGGGAGCATACTTGGAGTAACTGGATGCCATGGAGTAATTGGATGCCACGTGGACTGGGAACGCATTTGGAGTAACTTAGGCACCATGGCGACTTGTAGACTGGGGATGCACTGGAGACAGTAGATGATATGTGGACTGGGGATGCACTGGAGTCAGTAGATGACTTGTAGACTGGGGATGCACTGGAGACAGTAGATGGTATGTGTGGACTGAGAATGCATTTGGAGTAACTGAGCGCCATGGAGTTCATAGATGACACGTAGACTGGGGGCACGCTGGAATCACTAGATGACATGTTGGCTGGGAGCACTTTTGGAGTAACTGGGCGCCATAGAGTCAGTAGATGACTTGTAGACTGGGGGTGCACTGGAGACACTAGAGGATATGTGGACTGGGAACGCATTTGGAGTAACTGGGTGCCATGGAGTCACTAGATGATATGTAGACTAGGGGCACACTGGAGTCACTAGATGACACGTAGACTGGGAATGGACTTGAGAATGTGACCGCCTTCCCAGCCTTGACACTCCCCTTCCCTGCACTCCACAGCTGCTATCTCCTGGAGCACTATGGATCTATTATTGTTGGGTTAGAAGGAGTTTTCAGTCCTGGATCCCTAGGGGAGGGAAGGGTGATTATGGGGAGACACTCAACTTTCCTACGCATTGAAATAGCTAATTTGACATTCTTTGTAATAAATGTTATTTTTTTTTGCTCCCTGTGTAGAATCTCCCAGGTCGATTAAGCTGTAATGCAAGGGCAGTTGTGAAGGGGCGAACAGAATTTTGACTGTGGTGGATTGTGGCGGTATTAAGGATGGAGGTGCAGAGTCATGTAACGGGAAAGATATTAGACCTCACCCTGGAGATCATCTCCCTGCTGACCGGAGAGGTGAGGAGGATTCTGGGAGGATGACATCACTCTCATCTCTATTAATAAAACACAGACCTGACCGGAGAGGTGAGGAGGATTCTGGGAGGTCACATGACATCACTCTCATCTCTATTAATAAAACACAGACCTGACCGGAGAGGTGAGGATTCTGGGAGGTCACATGACATCACTCTCATCTCTTATTAATAAAACACAGATCTGACCGGAGAGGTGAGGAGGATTCTGGGAGGTCACATGACATCACTCATCTCTATTAATAAAACACAGACCTGACCGGAGAGGTGAGGAGGATTCTGGGAGGTCACATGACATCACTCTCATCTCTATTAATAAAACACAGACCTGACCGGAGAGGTGAGGAGGATTCTGGGAGGTCACATGACATCACTCTCATCTCCATTAATAAAACACAGACCTGACCGGAGAGGTGAGGAGGATTCTGGGAGGTCACATGACATCACTCATCTCTATTAATAAAACACAGACCTGACCGGAGAGAGGTGAGGATTCTGGGAGGTCACATGACATCACTCTCATCTCTATTAATAAAACACAGACCTGACCGAAGAGGTGAGGAGGATTCTGGGAGGTCACATGACATCACTCTCATCTCTATTAATAAAACACAGACCTGACCGGAGAGGTGAGGAGGATTCTGGGAGGTCACATGACATCACTCTCATCTCTTATTAATAAAACACAGACCTGACCGGAGAGGTGAGGAGGATTCTGGGAGGTCACATGACATCACTCATCTCTATTAATAAAACACAGACCTGACCGAAGAGGTGAGGAGGATTCTGGGAGGTCACATGACATCACTCTCATCTCCATTAATAAAACACAGACCTGACTGGAGAGGTGAGGAGGATTCTGGGAGGTCACATGACATCACTCTCATCTCTATTAATAAAACACAGACCTGACCGGAGAGGTGAGGAGGATTCTGGGAGGTCACATGACATCACTCTCATCTCTATTAATAAAACACAGACCTGACCGGAGAGGTGAGGAGGATTCTGGGAGGTCACATGACATCACTCTCATCTCTTATTAATAAAACACAGACCTGACCGGAGAGGTGAGGAGGATTCTGGGAGGTCACATGACATCACTCATCTCTATTAATAAAACACAGACCTGACCGGAGAGGTGAGGAGGATTCTGGGAGGTCACATGACATCACTCTCATCTCTATTAATAAAACACAGACCTGACCGAAGAGGTGAGGAGGATTCTGGGAGGTCAGATGACATCACTCTCATCTCCATTAATAAAAAACACAGACCTGACTGGAGAGGTGAGGAGGATTCTGGGAGGTCACATGACATCACTCATCTCTATTAATAAAACACAGACCTGACCGGAGAGGTGAGGATTCTGGGAGGTCACATGACATCACTCTCATCTCTATTAATAAAACACAGACCTGACCGAAGAGGTGAGGATTCTGGGAGGTCACATGACATCACTCTCATCTCTATTAATAAAACACAGACCTGACCGGAGAGGTGAGGAGGATTCTGGGAGGTCACATGACATCACTCTCATCTCTTATTAATAAAAACACAGACCTGACCGGAGAGGTGAGGAGGATTCTGGGAGGTCACATGACATCACTCATCTCTATTAATAAAAACACAGACCTGACCGAAGAGGTGAGGAGGATTCTGGGAGGTCACATGACATCACTCTCATCTCCATTAATAAAACACAGACCTGACTGGAGAGGTGAGGAGGATTCTGGGAGGTCACATGACATCACTCATCTCTATTAATAAAAAACACAGACCTGACCGGAGAGGTGAGGAGGATTGTGGGAGGTCACAGGACGTCACTCTCATCTCTATTAACCTCCTCGGCGGTATGATTCTTTCCGATTTTTTTGTGCTGAAAGCAGTACCATTTTTTTGCATGGAAATATGTAGTTTTTTATTGTAGGCTGTAATTTTTAGGAATAACTCACTGAAATCTGTACGAACAAGAGTCTAGTAAACATTCCGGATATGATAAAACTTGAAACACGAAATCATAAATTATAATTTAATAAATAATCATAAAAAATAATATAATAATACATTTAATTCAATAATATAATCAAACCAAAAACACTGAAATTTGAAATACAGAGGCAAATTCGCACATCGCTGAGCAAAGTCGCAAGATCGTTTTCAGTGTCTGATGACGAATTTCCCCACAAATCATTATCACTCAATTCTGCAAGTGGTTCTGATTTACTATCGCTGTTCTAAAACCGCTTTTGACGTAAAAGGAAGCTTTTTGGACGCCATGGACATTTCTAAGTTTCCAGGCAGAAAGAATGCAGGCAGGGCACAGGACAAAGCAGTAGGGACAAAATATATGTGAAATGCATTGAAACAGCAATAACAGCAAAAATGAAATTTTTTAAAAATTTCAAATTTCCCGCCGGTTCTGGCGCCCGTACGTCCCGACGTCACAGGGACCGGAACACGGAAGCCGGATACCGGCATCGGCCGGAGGAGATGGCCGGGGATGCTGCAGGGGACACATCACGGGAGCGAAGGACAAGGTAAGTGCTGCAGGGACCCCCTGAGCAACGCCGCATGGTAAGCCCGAGTGTAGCTCAGGGTTACCGCTCTTGGTACTGAAATTTTACCCCAAGCTACACTCGGGATTACCACTAAGGAGGTTAATAAAACACAGACCTTACCAGAGAAGTGAGGAGGATTCTGGGAGGTCACATGACATCACTCTCATCTCTTATTAATAAAACACAGACCTGACCAGAGAGGTGAGGATTCTGGGAGGTCACATGACATCACTCTCATCTCTTATTAATAAAACACAGACCTGACCGGAGAGGTGAGGAGGATTCTGGGAGGTCACATGACATCACTCTTATCGCTATTAATAAAACACAGACCTGACCGAAGAGGTGAGGAGGATTCTGGGAGGTCACGACATCACTCTTATCGCTATTAATAAAACACAGACCTGACCGGAGAGGTGAGGAGGATTCTGGGAGGTCACATGACATCACTCTTATCGCTATTAATAAAACACAGACCTGACCGAAGAGGTGAGGAGGATTCTGGGAGGTCACGACATCACTCTTATCGCTATTAATAAAACACAGACCTGACCGGAGAGGTGAGGAGGGCTCAGTAGGTAAAGCTACATAACGTTTCCTGTTTCAATACAGAGTTTTCCTCCTGGAAAGTCTTGTCGTCAGGTAACCATCGCAGTCCCTCCCCCTCCCTCCCTGACATCTAAAAGAAACAAGAAGAAGATCCTAGAAGTCACCCAGAAGATCATTGATTTGCTGACAGGAGAGGTGAGCGGTGCCGGGAATTCTGGGGCATTCTCCAGTAACAGACAAGGGATGTGTCTGGATGGTGACTGTATCATTGTGTGTGTCAGGTTCCTATAAGGTGTCAGGATGTCACTGTCTATTTCTCCATGGAGGAGTGGGAGTATCTAGAAGGACACAAGGACCTCTACAAGGATGTCATGATGGAGGATCAGCCGCCCCTCACATCTCAAGGTAAGAGGAGACTTTATTGTAAAGGAGAGAGCAGTACGGAGGATCCACCTAGATCCCCCATAATATGATAAACGCATATAAACAATGGATTCAGTCAGTGTGTGTGTTTCCTACAGATGTATCCAGTCATGGGAACCCACCAGAGAGATGTCCCCGTCCTCTGTATTCCCGGGACTCCACACAGGAAGGTCACACCATCCCTCACCACCATCGGGTTGATGGCTCCAGTAATGGGAACCCACCAGAGAGATGTCCCCGTCCTCTGTATTCCTGGGATTCTACCGAGGAAGATCCCACCATCCCTCACCAGGATCAGGTTTGTTGCATGAAGGGTCCCATAAACGTTATTCCCGCTCTGTAGTATGTGTGTTATGTTTTCTCTAAAATTTGATATCTTTTTAGGCAGAGGATGTAATTTCCTTTAAAGTTGAAGTCAAAGAAGAAGAAGAAGAAGAAGAGATGTACTTAATGCACGATGAACCATGTAAGGAGGAGGAAACATTTGTAGAGATCAGTACAGGTGAGTAATAATAAATGCAGAAAACCTTCATAATACCCAAACTCTACATCATTTGCTGTTCCCTTTATGTTGCTTCATCTTCCCTGTCCATCATACTGCACCACCTCCCGTGTCCTCCACACTGCACCGCCTCCCGTGTCCACCACACTGCCCCGTGTCCTCCACACCGCACCGCCTCCCGTGTCCTCCACACCGCACCGCCTCCCGTGTCCTCCACACCGCACCGCCTCCCGTGTCCTCCACACCGCACCGCCTCCCGTGTCCTCCACACCGCCTCCCGTGTCCTCCACACCGCACCGCCTCCCGTGTCCCGCACACCGCACCACCTCCCATATCCTCCACACCACACCACCTCCCGTGTCCTCCACACCGCACCACCTCCCGTGTCCTACATCGTCTCCCAAGTCCTTCACACTACACCTACATTTTCTCTCATCATTACCTCTCTGGTGTCCACCACTAAGATGTTTATTTTCTATAATTTGCAGATGTCTACAACATGGCAAAAACCTATTCAGATGATGAGCTAGAAGGTGATGACCTCACAGAAGGAGAAAGCCCCATTAACCCAAATATTCCCCCAGGACCAGCTGATAATTCTAATTATGAAGATCCACCTCACAGAGGAGAAATATTTCCTCGCTCAGAGAATAAGGATTCTCTTCCTCGAAACGTCAACAGTATGTTGAGGAACATCTCGGGCTCAAAGCCCCTCTCATGCTCAGAGTGTGGGAAATGTTTTGCCTATAACTCAAGTCTCATCATACACCAGAGGACTCATTCGGGGGAGAAACCATTTTTGTGCCCCGAGTGCGGGAAGTGTTTTGCTCAGCGGTCCAATCTGGTAAAGCATGCGAAATTTCACCGACAAGAAAGGCCATTTTCCTGTTCAGAGTGTGGGAAATCATTCACTTTGAGGTCATCTCTGGTTGAGCACCTGCGGATACACACCGGTGAGCGTCCATACTCCTGCTCCGAATGCGGCAAATGCTTTACTCTCAAGTCCATCCTAGCGGAACACCAAAGATCTCACACGGGTGAGAAGCCATTTTCCTGCCCCGACTGCGGCAAGCGATTCACTCGCCGATCCAGTCTTGTTGACCATCAGGTGGTGCACGGGGCCGAGAAGCCATTTTTGTGCCACGAGTGTGGGAAACCATTTGCTCGCCGATCCTACCTGGCAGATCACCAGAGAATGCACGCCAGCCAGAGCCCCTTCGCCTGCCCAGAGTGCGGGAAGAGCTTCACGCGAATGTCATTTCTCATTAAGCACCGGAAAGGTCACACCGGCGAGCGCCCCTTCCCATGTACCGAGTGTGGCAAAAGCTTCAAGGACAAAATGACGCTAGTCAAGCACATCCGAACACACACTGGGGAGAAGCCTTTCCCATGCTCACACTGCGGGAAACGTTTCACCCAGAAGGCCAATCTGATGAAGCATGAACGTGTTCACACTGGAGAGAAGCCATACTGCTGCTCGGAGTGCGGGAAAAGCTTCTCGCACAAATCCAACCTGGACAAACACCGCCGGATTCACACTGGAGAGAAACCCTTTCAGTGTACAGATTGCGGGCGGAACTTCACATTGAAATGGACTCTTATGAAGCATCAGAAGACTCATACCAACCCGCAGGAATGAATTATGATTCGGGCCTTTGGGGTGTCCAATAAACTACTTTTCTATCTAGATTCCAGTTTGTTTCAATCTGGCAGGCTGTCTTTTTTACAGTTTCTGATTGGCTGTTGAGTAATTTTAGCTTTTTTCTTTTTGCTTAGTCTTTGCTTGGCAGTTAGTGGAAAGGTAGATTACGTTGAGGGTTTTCACCAGAAGGAAGTGGCATTAGTCCCCTCCCCTGAGGAGCTGACTTTTGTAAGCCATGTATAGAGAATACCAAGTCAGTCACATCAGTCTTTGCACCAGAAGCGCTTACACTCTAATGTCCCCTCCACTGTCATGGTATTATTATTATACATTTATATAGTTCTGACATATACCGCAGTGCTGTACAGAGAACACTGAGCCAGTCACATCAGTCTCTGTACAGAGGATCTGACATTCTAATGTCCCCTCCCCCACAGTCCCATCAGTCTCTGCACCAGAGGAGCTTACACTCTAATGTCTCATCCCCCACAGTCACATCAGTCTCTGTACCAGAGGAGCTTACACTCTAATGTCCCCTCCCCCACAGTCACATCAGTCTCTGTACCAGAGGAGCTGACACTCTAATGTCCCCTCCCCCACAGTCACACACACTATTATTATAAATTTATATAGCTCTGACATATACCGCAGTGCTGTACAGAGAACACTGAGAAAGTCACATCAGTCTCTGTACCAGAGGAGCTTACACGCTAATGTCCCCTCCCCCACAGTCACATCAGTTTCTGTACCAGAGGAGCTTACACTCTAATGCCCCCCCCACAGTCGCACACGATTATTATTTTACATTTATATGGTGCTAACATATACCACAGTGCTATACAGGGAACAGCCAGTCACTTCACTCTCCGTACCAGAAGAGCTTACACTCTAATATCCCAGGACAATCACACACTATTAGTAGAACAGTATAATAATTGTAAATAATAAATGGATCAAAGAAAGGAATTCCGAGGAGTTTGCTAAACTCAAGGTTTTCTGTTAATGAAACAGAACTGATGATATTGGGGTGTATTTCAAGAAAAAAAAAAAATGCATAGCATATAAATTTGGCAAAATCGAATGTCCTATAATCTTTGCAGGTCGAATGTTATTCGTTGAAAGAATGGGGAAAATCTGCATTATGGCCACTACATGTTAAGTATGTTCCTCACCTCCACTTAGTGGCCATAATGCAGTATTTTCCCCATTCACACTTCGTTTTAATGAGTAACCTTCACTCTGCAGATAATATAGCCCCATTTTGCCCTGTTCACACAGGATGAATTTACATATAATGGATGAATAGATGCGTGAATTATTTCATTAATACACCCCTTAGCACAGTGTTTCTCAACCTTTTTTCAGTCAAGGCACCCTTTAAAATTATGGACAGTCCCGAGGCACCCTTTAAAATTAGGGACAGTCCCGAGGCACCCTTTAAAATTAGGGACAGTCCCAAGGCACCCTTTAAAATTACGGACAGACCCGAGGCACCCTTTAGAAAATACGGACAGTCTTGAGGCACCCTTTAAAATTACGGACAGTCCCGAGGCACTCTTTAAAATTACGGACAGTCCCAAGGCACCCTTTAAAATTACAGACAGTCCAGAGGCACCCTTTAGAAATCACGGACAGTCCCGAGGCACCCTTTAAAATTACGGACAGTCCCGAGGCACCCTTAAAAATTATGGACAGTCCCAAAATTACGGACAGTCCCGAGGCAACCTCAAAATTATGGGCAGTCCCGAGAGGCACCCTTTAAAATTACAGACAGTCTTGAGGCACCCAGTTCTAAAATGTGAAAAACTATTCCAATAGTTTTATATAACGCAGCAACATCCACACACAGAGGACACCCAATATTAGAGGTGATTTATTCTTCCAAAGCACATACACTTTTGCACACTGGTACTGACTAGTATTCTAGTGTTTCTCCTCTCCCTCAGTTTTTCTCCATCACAGAGCTAATGTGACCCAGCACTGACGGAAAGGGGCAGGTGAGGGTCAAATTAGGATGCTGTGCAGGCAGCTGACATGCTCCTGATCATTGGTTGTCAGGACGCCGGCGGCTAGAAGGTTGTAATGGTGCACAACGAAAACCCGTGGCTTTGTGTAACTAAATGGAAGGCTTATCCCACCCGCTGGCTTGTATACAAGTTTTGGGCAGTTTTTAGACATTTTGCCAAGGCACCCCTAAAGAAGCCTCAAGGCACCCCTGAAGAAGTTGCTTGTCCTCACAGTGGGGTCCCAAACCTACTAAGAGCACCACTCCCAGGGGTCACTTCTCCCAGGGGGACACTTAATACCGTAGGGTCTCTGCCTCCCCAACCCCTGGCCAGATGAGGTAGAATTCAATCCAGGAGGCACCAGATCCCTTGGAATCCCCCACATTAGAAAAGTTCTACCTACCCCTACCTTACTTGGTGGGCACTCGATTTGCATTGCTTCCCACGTGGAAGACTGATCCCTCAGGCTGCCCATCATATTAGCAGGGATACTTTACAGCCAGCCATCCCAACCCAAAGTCTAGGATGATGGCGGAGCACCTCTTACTGGACACTGATAAACAGGCATTACACTTGATCTTAGCCAAAAGGCAGAGAAGCGATTGAAGAACTATGCAAATCATTGCTTTATGGGCACCATCAATGTAGCGTATGGAAACCATGGCTTCAATGGAAAAGGCCTTGGCTCCCAACTAGACCATACAATCGTACAGGTTATGAAAAGAATGGATTAACACAGTCCCAACGTCCTTCAGTGGAATCCGTGCGAAGCACAGTAAAGCCTTCTTGGAACAGATGCTGTTCACATGTCCCATATCCCATAAATAAGATAATCCTTCATTTAAGAACAGTGGGTGGATCCATTAAAATCATCCCTTTATGCTCTCTCATCCAGGTGTCCATGCAGAACCACTTAGATCCAATATGAAAGGGATGAGATGTGGATGTTGCCATTTTATGAGGATACATTTCCTTGCATAAAATTGGAGCAGTTGTAGGAATGTTTTTGAATTGTTTCGGAGTTGTAGATTCTCCATGATCTCCAAAAGA